TTGTCGACACTGCTAGTAAAACTAAATATTGTTTGTTGTAACTACAGTCCTGTTTCTTGATAAAGGCTCCAAAAAACACCTTTCTAAAAAACACTTTTACATGGTACAAAGGTTGTTTTCGTTAGGTATATTTTTTGAGACAACAAGCCATCGCGAACCATGTAAGAAACACCTTTAAAGAGTTTCAATGGGCCTTGTTGTCTCAGGAGAAAATAGAACGACAGCGTTGTCAGGCCAAACGCACCGTGCTTACGCACTGGTCACATGGGCTCGGATCAGTAGAGTATAGAACACCGTTCGTTATCAACTTGGCAAGCTAAAAGTTGATTTATATCCGCTAACTAAACATCCGTCAGTTGATCGCTGGAACGTGTGAATGATACACTTTGATGATTACTGTGTGGGGCCGTTCAAAGTTACCTTATCTTACAAAGATCACTATGGCTACATTCAACGGACGTTTCTTTTTCTCGGGCGGGAGGTGATTTACATGGGTGAAAACGCTGGATAGTTTAATTAGATCGCCTTACTTATCGGCACCAGTTACTTTTGTGTATGGTTGATCAATACAGAACAAAAAGTTCCACCGTTCAGTTATGTTCGAAGAGTATATCAAAAGCCAGAACCAAGTTGTTTTCAGTGCGTCACCTTCAGACTAAATATAACAAAACAAGCATACAAGTGACTGTCAAGAGAAGAGTGAATGGTTTTTAATACAGCGTAATAATAGTCTGGGATTTGGGACATGGTTACTTTGGTGTCATGTCAATGGTTGTAGTGAGAAGAACATGAATTAGTGGTTACAGGCGGTAAATGTTGTGCAAAATACGGTCATAAATCTTTGGAACGTGTCAGCCGGTGATTTACCCCCATGGAACTGACTAGCTTTGTGACCATTCCAAAAACGGTTCCTGTACTTGGACGCATATCATTCCCAGATGGTATCGGTTCCCTGTTCAACTTGTGACGATGAAACAACATTCGTTGAGCAACCGTACATGAAAACCATCAGAAGTGCCGAACGAGGCGTTAGCAGCACTCCTTGTTGGAAAGGTTCCGTTATTCACGAAGGATGTCAGCACTTTTGATTTACAGTTTGGGCACGAGAAATTATTGACACAAGAGGCAATGTTGTATTGCCAATAAATGGCCGTCCAGCTAATAAATCAAAAAGCCAGCCGCAGCTAGCACGTTTTAGAGACAATCTGAAATAGTGAACTGATTTTATGATATTCCTCAAAACTATGATCTCCCTATTGAACATCTTATCATAATCAACAACTCAGATGGAACGAAGTTCATAGTGTTTTTCTGACATTCGGGTGTTCTTAGGCTCAAATACTTGCTGTTTAGCTCGCATATCAACCCTTGCGGCTTGACACTTTCTGCAGTTGCGTGGAAGGATGCCGAGCAACAGCACATATTGAACTGCGTAACATCAACTAGATTGTTTTCAGTACCCTGATTATTTTTTAGAGCCGTTCATAGTCAGTGTTATTTTACATCTCCATGTATGGTTATTCATCATCGTCTGCTGTAAGCAAGGATCATTCGATACTGTGCTTTGTTTTGTGGGGTTTTACACTGATTCTACATACAAAGATCATTTTTGATGACGTTTCAATATTTCTCATGAAAGCATGCCTGTTTGAATAATTCCTACAAAGTGAAACTGTATTGCTCACTGCGTCTTTATCACATTAGTCTATTTTCGTGCGTTTGAAGCAGCTTTCTCTTACTGGGAAGCCCTTTTACTTTCTAGAATGGTATTACTTGTAGGGAGGTCGAGTACTATATCGTGTGGAACTCTCCATGTATATTGTTTATT